TTTTATTTATTTTAAACAGGACTTTTTTATTGCTTTGTTAATTTTTAACAGGATAAAAAGTCAAAACGCAGAGAAAAACTATAAATATTAAGTCATGACTAAAAGTAACTTAAGTGCAAAAAAAAATGTTAAAAAGACTTTTATTTTGGCGTGGATTGTGACGTCATAAGCCTGCGCCGCTCCCGCGCTGTGATTCAACTGGAGAAAGGTTTGTTTTAAAGCGTTTACACTTATATAAAGCGATTGATTAAAGTTAGTTTTTTTATTCAGTGCTAAATTATGTACCTGCTGTTGACAATATTATTTTAACCCTTTATACAACGCAGTACTATTTAACTCACAGTAATGAGGTCTATTGTTTGAATAAAGATAGGATACACTTTTTGTCCCCGAGAGAAAATTTGTCTTGGGCAAAAAAATGCTACACGTTGCTGTAAGCAGACAATAAAGTAAATAAAACAAACAACAATTAAGAACATACTCAAATAAAGTTACAGGGATGTAACAGTGTGTAATAAGTGTTTTAATGAAGGTTTACTTTATTAAATAGTATAATGTCATTCCATTCTAAGTTTACATCACTATAAGAAATTGAGTACTAGTTTTAATCAGGTCATTTGTGGCTTTTGTTTCTTGCTCTGACTTGCCTTATTTCTTTTTAGTTTCTTTCATACAAAGAGACTGTTGAAGCAAGTGTTGAAGAGAAGTTACTTTATTTCTGTTCATTGTTTTATTTATTTTAAACGGAACATTTTTATTGTTTTGTTCATTTTAAGCAGGACAAAGTGTCCAAACACAGAGAAAAACTCCTGCTGAAGCGACTGATCTCCACACTGTTATAAAGATGGCGTTTATTAAAGAGGAGAGTGAAGATGTGAAGATTGAAGAAACATTTACAGTCAAACAGGAAGATCCACAGGAACAAACAGGTTAGTTTTCATTCTCAAAGACCAACTCAGTCATTTAATTTTCATTCAGATATATTTTAATAAGAAGAATACTAAATTAATCCATCTTGCAGCCCTGAGTGTGCTGCCTAGTTCTCCTAAATGAACTTAAGCACTCATTAAAAGACAGGAATTAGTTTCTTCTGTTACTTGTTCTCATGTCTTTTGTCATTCTTTTATGTATTATTAGTCTCCCATTTTCATCATCTTGGGCCAAAAATATAGTTATCATGATGATAATACAATTAATCTCGCAATCTATATACCCTTTCATTATGTTCTTGGCTGTTTTTGACCCATTGACTTCCATTATAACCACATTTTTTAACCGTAAAGCCATGATACCAAATAATCATGCATTCTAGATTGTTGCTGTTTTCCTTGTTGGGAAGAGGTCAAATGTGTCATTTTTACTGTTGATCATCAGCTGGCTGCAATCACCCTTTAGATGGGCCTGTTCAAAAAGGTTTCTGTCTTTTATATGGAGTTCAGTGGAGTAAAACAGCATATTATAGTGTGTGTGCATAAATACACTTTGTAGGGGGACCAACAGTTTTAACCCAAAAATGACCAGTCTATCAGATGAAGAAGAGCAGGAGTCAGAGATTCAATTAAAAGAAAATTTACTGTAGATAGTTTGCAGTTTCATCAGCAGAGGCCAGCTTCAACACTCACAACAAGTTTGTAGACCGATTTACATACAATCTCAGAACAACAACAATTAGATGTCTAGAATTCTCTCTGTTCTCTCTATGCAAACTGTTTTAATGAAATGCATCAGTAAAGTGCACTGAAACTTCACAAAAACAAAACACACAGGGAATATTTGAACCTATCAGTGTACAATATACTGATGCCTGTTTTTCTAGGCTTTATTAGTGTTAATCGTCAGAAATGTTGGACCATTATTGCCTTTTTAGCATAAGCAGAGGAGAGAATCTAGTCAGACAGTAATCTGTGAATTGTGGAGCGGGCAAAATCTAAAGACACATGCATTTTTTAGTAAGTGTACTTTTTTGTTGTTGTTGTTGTTGTTGCTTTTATTCTTGCCATAATAAAAATATGTATTTGTAGAGCAACCCATGTTCTGCAGTCATTAATGTTTTAAGAATGTTTTAAGAAATTATAATGGGTAGAACTGTCCGAGATATGAACAAAAGCAAGTGATGCACCAAAGTTTGATAAAAAAATCTTGAATGGTCATAGAAATCCTTATAATCATTAAAATAATTTATATAAACAAAAATCTATTTAGTTTAAAAACAATGAACGATATTAACGAAATGACCTAGGTTCGGAAACTTTTTTACTTCTCTGTTTATCCGTCTGACTTTACAGTGGGTTTCTTTTGACCGCCTCCTGTCATTTTAAAGAATATCACAATGGCGAACGTGGCGAGTAAAGCCTCGTCCATTTCGCGAGGTGAGCGTGCAGTCAGCGGTGGTGTGTGATGCGGTGCCAGGCTAGAGTATTTACCTTATTCTTCGCCGATGAGCGGGCGCAGCCATTTGAATCTTTTTGGCACGAGACTTCCGGTCTTTCACTTACATTCATTTTTAGACATTAAAAACTGCTATTTTCGCTGTTTGATGTTGCAAACTGATATTTCCTTAATATATTATTCTACTTGGTCTGTATAGTCATGCAAACATTTGCTTGTAGAGCAAGTAGTTTGACCATTTTCTGCCGTTTATTATTCCTAGTCATTTCTCCAATAGGCGACTGAATCGGAAGTTCTAAAACAATCGCGAAAACAGGCGCACTTCCGCATTTTAGAATAAGGTCAATAAATCTAGCTTCTCTCTCTTTCTCTCTCTCTCACACACACACACACACACACACACACACACACACTATACTCCATAAGGCAGAAACTTTTTTGCACTGAAACTGATAATCAATTTTAAAAATCACAAATCTCTTCCCAACAGGGAAATGTAATGGTGATGTGGGAATGGTGATCCCCCCCCCAAAAAAAAATACAATAAACAAATATTAAACAAATATGTTTGTCACTTGTTTTTAAGTAGTTAATCTTGGGCGCCAGACAGAATATCTGTTAAAATACATTTCAAACAAAATATACCACGGCTAGCTCTCACCACCAGTTACAAATAATAAAAAATAATTAAATAAATAAAATAACACACAATGAGAACCAGAAAAAAACTCAGATAATTGCTGTAATTGTCTAAATAAAGTTTGTATTAGTCAATAATATTAATAAAATACTTTGTACTTTTCACACACAAACAGCAGTATCAACAACAAAACAAACAATATAACAATGAAACGCAGAACCCTCAGCACTTAAAACTCAAATGAAAGAAAAAAATGCAAATGATTTCAGGCCAGCAGATTTGAAAACGGGGAAAATAATAATGATAACAATAGTACGGGGAGAAAACAAAACAAGAGAAACAAAATGAGCATTTGGGCAAAGAAAACAAAAACTTTTGCTTCTTACCCACGGAGCGGAGGGGTCAAGGGAAATGAGTGGGGAATGGCGAATGTGGATGTGAAGGTTGAGGGTGTTGGTGAACCCAGCCGGTGAGTTGGCAGCTGACTCCATGCCAGCGAGAAAGATAAATCGGTAAGTTGATTTTGTTCAGGGCACACTGCACTGAAGTCTTTAGTGACGCACACATTCAAACGACGTCACGTGCACTTCAGTAACAAGACAGCGGTCTTTGCTCTGTTGCTTCAATACATACTACCGCTTTTTGTTTCTCACAGCCAGTCGTTAAGTTTACACTGCTCATCTCGACCCGACTTCTCTACTCCTTTCCCCACACAGCAACAGTACAGTCAACTTCTCTTTCTTCTACACACCACATAATGCTGCCTTCTTTAACTCTCCACCTCCTCCTTTATTCTCTCACCCATTTCCTTTTTGCCGTCACATGGGTGGAGACCAATTAAACAATGTCGTCACAAAGAACACCAACAATCATAAATTCATGAATATGTGCTGTCATGGCTTTGCAATAAAAAATGTTCTTATAATAGAGGTCAATGGAGAAAAAACAGCCATGAATATAATGAAAAGGGAGTAAATTTGCCCAGAGTGTATTGAGGTTTTTAAAAAAAAATGTAAAGCATTTTCCCATTGATGGGGAATTCATTGTGTCTTGATGAATTTATTACTCTCATTTATATGCTTATTTGAGTGATTTCCATGTTGTTGTTGTTATTATTATTTATTGTATTTTATTTGCACTATAAGAAAATTTATAATAGAGGCCAATGGAGCATTTTTCCAGAATATGTCAAAATAAGATGTCCCCAAATATCAGTCCATTTGCTGAAACACTGAGAACGTTTTGGCCAAATTAAGCCTCAAAATCACCCCAGAATGGATGAAAATGACCCAACAGCAAACAAAAGGAAATGTGCACATTCCAGCCTTTATGCAGATGCTGTACAGGTATGTCTCATGTCTGTGAGGCAATTATTCAGCTGTTACCCCAGAACTTTTTTTCTGATACATTTACCAGTCAGGCACACAACAAACAAGTATTTCCTGTCCACTTTACAAATCGTAGAAATCTGTGTCTTATCAATATGACCAAAATGACCTTTATGAAAAACTCTAAAAACTGGACTGACACTGTTTAAATTTACTACAACTTCTATGCTAAGCAGCTTTGACACAATTTACATTGTAAAAGCAATAGATAAATAAAGATGACTTGAATTAAATCTGCTTAAATGTGTACACGTTAATGGACCAAACAAAATATGATCTGATTTATTTTACATTTAATGTGTATCAAAGTTACAGTGTGTGTAGCCAATGTTTCCAGTGTCTTTTCACTTTTCAGCTTTTGATGAGAGTTTTTAAGACTTAATGAAAACTAATGACTTAATGTTTCATTTATTTCAGACCTAATTGAAGAGAATGAGGATAGTAAAGAGGAGGAACATCATGTGAAAATTGTGGAAAAAACTCATTTACAGACTGATGGTATTTTAAAAAGGACAGACAAGAATCGTTTCACCTGCACTCAGTGTGGAAAGAGTTGGGCAAGCAAAAGCAAACTTAAGATTCACATGATGAACCACACTGGAGAGAAACCATTCACATGCACTCAGTGTGGGAAGAGTTTCAACCAATCATCACACCTTAATCTACACATGATGATCCACACTGGAGAGAAACCATTCACATGCACTCATTGTGGGAAAAGTTTTAACTGCTCATCACACCTTAATCAACACATGAGGATCCACACTGGAGAGAAACCATACGCATGCACTCAGTGTGGGAAGAGTTTCAACCAATCATCTCACCTTAATTATCACATGATGATCCACACTGGAAAGAAACCATTCACATGCACTCAGTGTGCGAAGAGTTTCAACCAATCATCACACCTTAATCAACACATGAGGATACACACTGGAGAGAAACCATACGCATGCACTCAGTGTGGGAAGAGTTTTAACTGCTCAACAAACTTTGATAACCACATGAGGATCCACACTGGAGAGAAACCATTCACATGCACTCAGTGTGGGAAGAGTTTCAGCCAATTATCCAACCTTAATCTACACATGATGATCCACACTGGAGAGAAACCATACGCATGCACTCAGTGTGGGAAGAGTTTTTACTGCTCAACAAACCTTAATCACCATATGAGGATCCACACTAGAGAGAAACCATTCACATGCACTCAGTGTGGGGAGAGTTTCAGCAAATCATCACACCTTAATAAACACATTGAAGGAACTCATGGGCATATTGCAGTGGTCAACACGAGTTGAATCTGAAATCTTGGGCATCTGCAAATTGTCTCAGTCATTGAACTGGCTTAAGGGCTTAAACCATCACGATAACAAAGCACCAATTGATTTTGGGTTATTCTGACCAATACTCTGGCTGCAGATGTTCCAGGTACCCTTCAGCAAAATTAGTAAATTATTTAAACTAAACAAAGGGGCATTACGGGATTTTCAGCAGGAACCGCCTCACAAGACTTTTGAATGACATTGAAATTGTGCATCCTGTCAGATGCACAATTTCGTAGAGACGAAGAGATCTATAGAAACATTAATGCATACAAATGAAAGTAAATCTCTTAAAATGTTAGAACTAAGGCAGATGTATCTTAGAATAATACACCATAATGTTCCTCATATGCTGTGGTTATTTCAACCAACCAGGTTAATCAATGTGTTGTTTTAACCCTTAAAGCAGATTAGATTGATCTGTATGTGTCTGAAATGTATGAGATCTGGTCTTGAATGAAAGCTAGTGACATTTGCAATCTGTTAGTGTAAATGAAAAACTAGTAGTACAAACAGTATTCGTCTTGTAACATTTGATGTAAGTTAGTTTCAATCTTGCAAGAGTTCTTCTACGTGAAATCTACATGCAGTGTGTTAATGATTGACCCTTTCTACGTCGGCACGGGGTGTGGCCCTGCCCTTCATGGCAATTGCTCATTGGCAGACAGTGCCATAGGGATGGATCAGACCAGGTCACTAATAGACACCCTGCAACAAAGAAACTTTGCTTTGAAACCGCGCGAACTTCCGCAAACCGACTTTCAGCAGTCCGTCACCTCAGTAACCCAGAACTACCCACCCACAAGCGAGGGAATTCCAAGGACGTCACAGAAGCCACCAGCCAATCAGGAGCACTGTGTTTCCCCAAGGCCAGCTGGCGAGGGAGATTCATCTTCAGCAAAAGTGCAAGTAACAAACAAACGTTGTCTCTTACTGATCTGGTGCAGATTGATCGTAAACAGTTAAAGATAAGCCATATCTCTGCTTTTGTGGTTTCTCAGGTGTTATTCTAAGATCTTGTTAAAAGTATTAGAATTAATTTGGGATGGTTGTCAACTCATTTTACATCCTCTGAACTGCCTCTGTGTGTGCGCGAGTTTGTTTGTTGTTTGCTTATTACGTAGTTAGTTTCATGTATCGTAGTGTAGCTCAATAAATCTTTGTTCTCATTTTGTAAGAATTGTGTTCTTGTTTATGTGCTTCTAAGTCATTGCCTCGAGCTGTAGATCTTGTTACCTTGCTAAAAGTTAACTCAGTACTGTGGTATGTTATTATCGTTGGTCACGTAAATAATATTAACAAGATTGGAAAGATACTGTTACGTAGCGGATGCACCCCGCTACGCACATAAATTTAAGGATGACCGCTATAAAAAGTGGTCACCTGGAGTCCCCGTTCCTGCTCCCCAAGCACACACACACACAGGCCATGTTGTCAAAAAGGGGTATCAGATTAATTAAACAAAAAGGTCAAAATCAGAATTAGGGAACAAAAAGGCCAAAACAACAAACAAAACAAGGTACGCTACCTAATATTAAACCTCTTACCCATACCAAAAAATAAAGTTCCATAAATTAAGCATACAATTCTAACCTCCATAACTAGCCACAAAACAGGAGAAAACTGGACAAAAGAAATGGGCCTTCCCTTTGATCATTTAGCCTTAAGGTAAATATTAGCCACAGCTAATATGGAACAAAATCAATGCCTAAAGTCTTGAATTAAAAAGCTTGTTGAATATCACAAACTGAAAAAAATAATACACCGTATTAACAAGTTCTTGCATTTTAATGTCTTGAATTCCAGGGTTTGTATTTTTAGGTCCTGAAATTTAACATATCTGTATATTTAAGCTTTGAATATTTCAACGAAAAATATTTCAAACACGTTTTCATACTTAAAAATTCAATAATTCATATTCAATTTTCAGATTTCACTTACAAAATATTCAATACCCTTTAAAAATACGATGTATAATATTCAAAAGGTAATTTTCAGTTCATTTTATTTCAGTTCAAATATTCGCTTCCATAAATTCAGTGGATCAAATTCGACTGTTAAAATTCAACATTACATCCGGGAACTGCAGGAAAAGTAATAGATTGCAGATTGAAGATCGCCAGCTGCTCTAGCTTTCACCAGCAGGTGGAGATGGAATGTAAGATTTTTAACCCAGTAAACAGGCGAGGAAAAAGGCTATTAAAGGCACAAAAGTAGCATTTAATATTAATATCAATGTTTTGGACATTATAAATGATAAAAAGTATGAGTAAAATGAGTAAATGAGGTTTTAGTCATCTATATTTGCCCTTATGTAACGGAAGCCAGCTGGTGATCGCGTAAATCTCAGTTCTCGGATCCAGTGACAGACGTTGTTCTGCAATCTTATCGGAGCTTGTCTCCCATGCCGGCTCGCTCCCTGCTCGGACCGGTGCAGTTACTTGCACATAAACCGTCTTTTGATGAATATGATGTTACACATTGTCTATCTTTATTGACTCTTTCTTCCATAGACGCGAAGTATTATATTGACAGCTAAAGAATATAAACGTAAGAGAAACAGGAAAGGAAATATTATAACAATACAAAATAGATAAACATTGACAGGGCTAAGAACAATTACGAACAAAGATATTCAAAAGCAGAGAGATTTTATGAGAATGTCACACAAAACAGTTTACTTGGAACTGTTAAACAGTGTTCAGGTATGATTTAAGGTTGGTTATGGATGGGGCGTCTAATTTAAAATAATTTAACATAACGTGCGAATGCATTAAAGGAGCGTCTTCAGTTATTATTTAAACGCAGCTATGTCAGGATTGGGATAGGTAATATAATTTCATTATTTAAATTATGATTGTTAATATTAATATTTTATGACATGTATTTGGGCTATTGCGCTTAAATAAGTCATCCGTGATTCTAAATTAATATTTCTATTTATCCTTTTTATCACTCTGCCTGTCTTTCTCTTCTTTTTTTTCTAATTATTGGGGTTCTGCCACGGTTAAACGTTTGCAAAATGTCTTAGTTTGTCCAGAATATTGTTTTATTGTTATGTAGCCTAGTAAAAATAGTTAAAAATAAAGTTAGTAAAAATAAATTCATGCACTTTTTGCTTTGATCTTGAACAGAGGCCAGGTTACCGGTCAGGTTTGAGACATGATCATCCAGACTCTAAAAGACCACGTCCATCTTGTCAGAATTTTCTGCATCCTGACATGCTGGTTTTTGTTGTGTATTATTTTTTTCTTCTTTGATTTTTGTTATCGGGCAAATGTCTCTTACGGTGAATTTTGTGGCGCTGTGGCTTAGCTGGTCAAAGCGCCTGCCTTGTAAACAGGAGATCCTGGTCTCTAATCCCAGCAGCGCCTTAGTCCAGATGGTGCATGTGCTTGTTTTATAGAGCTTACCGGAATGAATTATAAAATTGTATAGCTTTGAGGCGTAATGAATAGTAAAATAGAGTTAAACAACCTCTTTGCTTGCCATTTTAAGACTTGCTGTCTTTTTTTAGTCTCTGTGTGCAAAAACGTCTTGCCTCCTTTCTAGCGTTGGTGCTGTGGCTTAGTTGGTCAAAGTGCCCCTCTAGTAAACAGGAGATCCTGGGTTCAAATCCCAGCAGTGCCTAATGTACAGGTGCCACGGTTGCTTTTTGTTAAGAGTATCGAGTGTTTACGCAGTGGGATGTTTAGCAGTCGGTTTCTTAACAAAACTCAAATCCTTAAGAACGCTGCTCGTTCAAGAGGGCTTTGGACGATGGCTTTATAAAGCATAGTGTGGTAATCCCTAACCAATGCGCTACTTGCACGCAGGCTCGTGACTTAGTTCCGCCTTGAAGAAATAGGGCCCGCTTAGTTCCGGTTTGTCGGCCATTGTTGCGAAGTTGGGAGAAAATGTTAAAAAAAAAGTGTTTATAGATTTCAGAGACAGCAGAAGGTATACAACGTACACTGCTGCGTTCCGCTGTGTACATCTTCTGCGAAATTCAACAGAAGTATAAGTTTTCACAGTTTTCCTTCAAACGTGGACCTTAGAAAACAGTGGCTTGTGAACATACGCCGAGATGATTTTTGTCCAACCGACAATTCCAAGGTTTGCAGTAGACATTTTAGCAGGGATCAGATTATTGAACCGCAAACACCAGAGGCACGAAAAAAGTTAGTAACTGGCGCTGTGCCAGTGCTTTTTGCCTGGAATAACTATGCAGTTAAAGCATCGCGGTCCAGTGTGTGGGAGAGGAGAGAGAGGCCGGCTGAAGTGGTATCCGTCGAACCCACACCCATGGATGTTACGATGGATCATGATTACTGTACCATTCCCGAGCCTTTATCATTAGACCTGGCATATGCTAAAATAGAAGAACTTTCCAATGAAGTGGATGAGCTGAAAAAACAGCTACAAGAACTACACGTTCAGCGTGATTTTGGATTGGAACGGTTTGCTGGCTCAGATGAGGACATCCGATTTTATACAAGGTAGGTCTGAAGATTGGAAGAATCTTAGGATTAGATGTGATTACATATACTCATTTTTAAATACACGTGCCTGCATTACTAGCACGGAAACATGTAAACAATTTGTAAATGTATTCAGTAACACTTCTGCTTATAGGTTCCCCAGCTACCGTCACCTGACATCTTTCTGGTGGCTAATCGAGCCATCCATTCACAAAATCATTCGTGTGTCCAGGGCTAAATCTGCTGCTAGAAAGCAGGAAGACATCATGGATGTACTGCCACCATCAGAGGTAGGTTTTATACGCACAGTAAGCATGACCGTACACAAACACATTTATTTATATATATATATATATATATATAAAATTAAACACACACACAGACACACACACACACATATATATATATATATATATATATATATATATATATATATATATATATATATATATATATACATGCATACACATACATACATACATGCATGTATATACGTATGTATGTGTATGCATGTAAATGTATGTGTGTGTGTATATATATATATATATATATATATATATATATATATATATATATATATATATATATATATATATATATGCACAATGAAAGGCCTCATTGGAATAGCGCCTCATGGTCCAGTGACATTCGTCTCTCAGCTTTATGCTGGGTCAGTGAGTGACAGGGAGATCTTTAAACAGTGTGGGATAACAAAAATGCTGACAGAAGACATGGCAGTTATGGTTAATAAAGGCTTTCTGATTAGTGACTGTGTCAAATGCAAAGTGTACTGTCCACCATTTCTGTCCAGGGGAAAGCAGATGCCAGCACATCAGGTGAAAGAAACGCAGGCAATAGCGAGATTGCGTGTGCACGTGGAACGGGTCATCAGGAGGATCAAACAAAACAAACTTTTTGATGGTGTCATTACACTTTCCCACAGTGTTAACATCAATCAACTTTTTTCAGTTGCATGTCTGTTGTCAAATTCAAAACAAGGCATTAGTTAAGACATGGATCAAATGAAAAAAAATCTTAGATTACCGTTTACTTTGACTACTGGAATTCTTACTTTAACTGTTACTGTTTTTTCACCATTCTCAATACATGTTAACTCAATCTATGTTTATTTTAAGAGGAAACTGTTCTGACCAGCAAGATAAGTGGAATATACTGTAAATAAAACTGACATTGTACATATCAGAAAATGGAATTGAACACAAAAACAGACATTGTACAAATAAAACACATTTAATAACATGTTTGAGTACTGTTTTACAGATTTCTCATTTCTTTGACAGTTATTTCATTGAAAAGTATTTTGGCATGTATGTGTAAAAGTAAAAATAATCCACCTTCTCTCTGATAACTTTGTGCACTGAAGTGTCACTGTAGATACGCTGGATAAAACAATCCTCCTGGGCCCACACCATGAAATCACACCACTGCATTCCGGAGACCAGTAGTTGTTCCTGCACTTGGTAATAGTAGGCATGGCTCTTTTTCAGGGTGAGAAATCCATGGTCCATTTGCAAATATTTGCAATCTACAATGTTTTTGACATTAGGACATTTAACTTCAACAAGTCCAA